ACATCAACGGTCAACATTCAATTTTGCATGTGTCTGAAAAAATAACTATCCGAGTGTTCTGCTTGTTGCCGCGTGTTGCCGCTTGCTGCTGCTATCTTGTGTGTGTGTGTGTGTGTGTGTGTGTGTGTGTGTGTGTGTGTGTGTGTGTGTGTGTGTGTGTGTGTGTGTCATGGTCGTTATGTCATAGCAGTGTGCTTGTGCGTATGTCTGTGTGTGCTGAGGAGATGCTCCCCGCATGAAACTCACGGTTGCCAGCATGGCTGCTTGTACCCCATGGGCTTGCAAGGAGCGTAACGTGTATGCTTCCCCTATTATAAACCACTCGGCAGTTTACAACACTGATTATAAGGCTTGGGGAGCAGGGTGATTGGGTGTGACAGCGTAACCGCTGTACGTCCAGTTTAAAACGTATGCATGCTTCAACCGCACTGCTGGATTGTGAAGGTCAAGCTGAAGCAGTAAAGTGTATGTGTGTGGGGCAGCGAATGTGCCTCTTTGCTGGTTGGAAAATACAAAGCTTCCGGGCATTGTATTGTGCAGGGCCTCCGGGCCTACCTACCGCATGGACTGTACAACTCCATGCTTCCGTTTAGAGAGATGATCAAAGAAAGGAGATAGTTGGATGGAATGGCATTCCTGTTTCTGAGGCTGGTGCAGTTTGTATTGACCAGTCTTGGTCACAGTTGGTGCCTTGCTGGTTCAATGTTGTCATTGTGTGTGGTGCGTACTAGTGAATCGGGAGGGAGGGGCAGTGGATATGTGCCTGTTGTAAGTTTAGAGTGGAACGTACCTCTGCTTCAATGGCATACACTAGGAGTTGTATCGAGTATTGGGGGGGGGGGGGTCACATTTGATGTGACGGTAGTCTACGGCTTCGAGTGCAGTTTGAAACATATCCGTGCTTCTACGGTATTGCACCTTGTAGCAGAGAGTGCGTGGGGGGGGGGGGGGCAGTGTATGCGTCCCCACTTCCAGTACAGTGCTGCTCAATGGAATCAGATCACGTGAGGCAAGTTTGCGCCTTGCCCTATTTCGCAGCCCAGTGATTGCAGATCTAGGGCTATGCAATGGCCTGCGTAGGGATGTCCAGATTCTGTTTTCAATTTTTTTGCATTTTGGGGTAAGTCTACCCCACTTTTGCATTTTGCCTGTTTCTGCACGGTTTCGACCCAGAAAAGGGCGGTTTTCCTGGGGTTTTTTTCGCTCTACGTCACGAAGTGAGAAACTTCGCAAGAACTTTCGCAACTTCGGCCGCGAAACTTGCAGGGAACGCGAAATGAAAATGTGCAGAACACAAAGTTCGTGCGAAAACTTTCGCTCTACGTCACAAAGTGAGAAACTTCGCACGAACTTTCGCAACTTAGGCCGCGAAACTTGCAGGAACGCGAAATGAAGCTTTGTTGTCATGGTAACGAACGCATTTTTTCCGCGGTTTGGCTAATAAATTGATTTTTTTAGAAAAGCATAAAAAAGACGATATGCATTTTGATAAGATTTGGTCGCATTTTGCATTTCAATTTTTCCACAAAAAACGCGCAGAATCGGGCCAACCCTAGGCCTGCGTGTACTTTTGAAGTGACTCGTGGGTTTATTATTACCAGATCCTTCACCTGGGGTGTCATCGATTGGCAAATCTGGTTTCAGTGCAAGCAGGCAGTGTTGTCCGAGCAACACTGGCCCAATCGAACAAAGGAAGGGTGTAGTACACACAAGGTACACATATCGTACGAAGATTCTATGAAAGCCGTCATAAAGCCAAAGTCCATTTCCACTCCAGCTACACATGGTGTGTTCGGATTGCACTCCAAGTACACCTACTCCAGATTTGGCCAACCGATCACGCTCGTTTGGAACGAACTTGCTCGGGATTCATCCAATCGATCATGCCCCCAAGCCATAGACAGCTCACTGCAACAAGCCGAACAGATTCCGTACACAGGGTCCAGTTTTACCTGTCCAAAGCGAGCTCAATACAGTACCGTATGGACTTTCACATGTGTGGAAGCTTTTTGCAGGTCACGCTATACAACCCTATGCCTAGTTCACAGCATGGACTGCCCGCAGCACAGGAGTACATGTAAAAGCGAGATGCACCAGCAAATCTTGAACAGCACATTTGTACAATATCAATAATTGTGATAGATCTACATTACACACATGTACCTAGAAGAGCAAACATGAGTGTGCGTGTGTGTGTGTGTGTGTGTGTGTGTGTGTGTGGGTGCGTGCATGTCTATAAATATACTTTGTTCAGGTACATAAAGAAAATGTTGAGGCGTCGAACCAAACATGATGTCATGCTGATCAATTTGACATACATATTGCGGGTCGTGCATGCCTCCCTGTATGAAGTGGTATCATGTCATCATGGCATGGATTCCGTTGCACCAGGGGCATCCGGTAAACTGACAGCCTGACACTGGCTTGACTGTACCAGTTTGTACTAGTTTCGGTACAACAGTGGTACAAGGTATATACAGAAGCCTTGCTTGGTAGTTTAACATGTTTTTCGATTTTTGACAGCATGTCACTACGCGTCCTCGCCTTGTAACATGCTGTCAAAATCGAAAAACAGTGGTACAAGTAGTCAAACCACATGCACATGCACGGGATCTCCTGTGACATCAAGTCTACGTAGCTGAAATACTGAGCGTTACGCATAAAGCTACCATCATATAGCCAGAATTGCAGAATTGCTTTACAAACTACAGAGACATCGACTACAGTGTGCCCCATGATGGCATGAGCAGACTGAAAATCAAATCATTCCACCATGTTCACACTTGCACACTATGCCCTAGAACAGCTTGCACTAACGCTAAACGTGAAACAAAGTGCGAAAACACATGGGATTTACCCAAGAGCGTGCGACTCCTATCTTGAGGTACAATGGACATAACGACAGTGGAATTATTTATTGCATAATTTATTGGCAGAGGTATGATCAAGTGCACAGGATCTGACACATTAATTCATGTTTTCTTGACTCTGCAGAAATCTCCTACCATGTTTCCGCCAATTTCGACAAGAGTGGCTTTCCCTCTTTCTATGGTACGTCAATCATGCGCACTTAGGTTGCGTCTCTTTTGTTATGTTCACCTGTTTACCTCCCTGTTCTTCAACTCCCTCAAACTAATACATCATGTAAATAATGAGAGTCTAAAGTTTAATCACACACAGCTACATTGTAGAGATTTTAGTTCCAGGATGGAATGTACATTTTATAGATTCTACAGTGAGTGTATGAGTAGTGCAAAGTGGTGTAAGCAGTCTACACGATCTACGTAGCCGGCAAAACAGCATGGTGATACAACATGCAACGTCGATAGGACTGTGAGTAAACGAGTCGAGAGGACTCAGACTGCGAGTAGACTACATAGCCAGGCGGCACTGTGATTGCTTGCTCACCAGGAATGTGACTCTCTCATCTAGCTGCTGGCAGCCAGTATACACATGTACATCAGGTAGTCGTAGCACCTAGGGAGACGACACGGACAACTGTAACGCTATATCATAATATTGTGGGTTTCGACTAGGACTCTGGACTGCCCGTTACAGTCGCCCTTGGGACAGGGTGGATTTATACGTGCTCACACATGACGGGGGCGGATCCAGATATCTCTACGCGGGGGTCCAGTTTACCCAAGAACTGCTGATACATGTACGGGTACATGCATATGGTTTCCAGTGGTGCATTTGCGAAATTTAAGTGGTTCACCCCGCTCCCTTCGCCTCCTGGATCTGCCCCATGCATATGACATTGCTCGTCTGGGCCAAGCTTGGGGTCAGCAGGTCAAGATCGTGATCGTAAGCGCGAGTTGCCTAGGCCAGGGATCACGTAAAACTTCCAAATCCAGGGTCGAAACACGCATCGTTTTGGGTACTTTGATCCTGTATTGTCTCCCTGTGTATGTATGCTACGACTCCTTGATAAAACTATACACAAGTAGCTGTAGCAATTGATACTCTGAACCATGTGCCTTATCGCAAGTACACTGCAGCAGAAATATAAACTTTTGTTGACCCTTTCCCATCAGTGGATACAAAGGAAATGAAGTGAAGAAAATCAGAAGGGTGATATCAAGAGTGCATAAACACTGTTTATGCACTCTTGGTGATATCAATAGACGGGGTGGGGGTGATAGTTGACTGACCAATGACACTTAGCAATGTTGCTACTGTGTGTTTTAAACTTTCGTCTCCTAAATTCAAGTAACACGTGTTGGTTCAAAAATGCAATCACAACTGGTCAATGAAAGTCTTACCATAACATTTCCCACAGTATCAATAGTGACTGAAGCAGCCACTGACGAACAGTGGTTCACTGGACTCCTCATTCAGAGGACACATAATAATAATATCTCACCACCGGTGCACCTGCCATCATAGCAGATGGTAATTTCGTAGCAGAAAACAATTACTTTATTAAAATAATTGATGTAAACAAAATGTACTTCAGAGTACTAAATATCTGTGCACTGAAATACTTTCATTCGCCTCTGTTTAGTTATCAACACAGCCATAACTACAGCAGATGAGCAAGTTCCGCCGCGCATGTTGCACGCTGTTTGCAATACATGTTCATGTACTGCCAAAGTGCCAATAGCTTATAAAATATTTTTTTCCTTGTTCAAGCCTACACGATCGAACATACTGTCTCAGTATGTGCAGCCTGGTTGAACATGATCACGTCGCTGACTGTCACGTCATGTCAGGCTGCAGGGCCGAGGGAATCAGTAGGGATGCACGAATGTACATGTACATGACACCTCACACCTGTGACTGTGTACAAGTGGTGTACATGCATGTGTGGTCTTTTCAAGTTTTTGAATCGAAACTTTTGCTTGTCTGCACTGTACTGTATGTATTGGACGTCTTTTTATAAAAATTAAAAATTAATATTAGCCTTGGCATTGGGTCGTGCATTCTGGTTGAGGATAATACTTTTACAACGCCTTTTTATGCGTGTTTACCGGGACGCGAGATTTTTTTTCTCAGTACGTGCGTCGCGACTCTATTAATTTTGGGAATATTGTTGTGGCTGTCTTTGGCATGAAGAAGTTGGCGTATGGCCTCTCCTGTATGTTCACGAGTGGAAAGTAAAGTGCTTAGACTGGAGAAACAACTCATCATGCTGAACTATCTGTGCATTTGTATCCATTCTACGGTCTCCTTATATCTTTGGACTAGTTCTCTACTGGCTTTGAAGAAAGCAGGTAAGATGCTGACTAAACTGCTTGTATCGGTTATGCTGTATCGAGTGGAGTGAATGCTTGCCCAGTCTGACTATGATGCGGAATTTCGTTCGATTCGTTTCAGAACTATGTCAGCTTGCAATTATATAATTTCGAATATAAATTTTGCAAATAGGTGGTTGCCTAGCGCTATAGCGCCTATCTATCGTGAAATAAAGGGTTGCATGTACATGTAATCACAGTCCATGCTATTGTTTCGGTGGGCCACTATTTCACACAACGCAACCACTTCACTACGAAAATTATTATTATAATATTAGGCCAAACTAAAGAAGGTGTGTGGTTCGACTAACATGGACATTTTTTTTACGGGCGGGCGGGCGGATATTTTTTTTTAAATATATATTTTTAGTACATGTAAATACACTGTACTGCCTTTAGACACCCAGTACATCGGCATTATTACGCAGTGTTATGCCATACATGTTGTATAAAGGGATCACTGGCTAATGCTTTGAAACATTGTGTAGCTCTGGAACGAGAAGAGAATAACTTCAAGCGGTGACTCTGACTGTCCAAATCATCAAGCAAATGAAGAACGATGCGAGTTGAAAGTAAGTTCGGGAACTACTTCGAACTCAATCGAAGTACAAATTTTACAATGTACCGGTACATGTATTGCTAGTTTGGTGTCGGCGTGCACGAATACATGGGCTTTTTCCATCGACGCTTCCTGTGCTTGCACACATGGAGCAGCAACTTACCGGTACAGGTGAAATATCGTTCCCAATACACGAGGAAAGTGCAATCTCGTCTGTCCTTCATCCCAAAACAGAACGTCAGAAGGCCGTCCTTAATCTGGAACGAGGCAATCAGTCTCAACCGGACGGTCACTTCAAAATAAGTCTCGCCAGTCTGCCGGTGGTCGTATCGAGTAGACTCTACTACATGTACCAGCACAAGGCAGCAGTCGTACCACTCACTACACTGCACTGCAGTACGACTACAAGTCAAGTCCAAAAGGAGCCGCCTAGCGCCTGCGTCCGCAGACTCACGCTGCACGTAGACGTGGACGTGTTCAGTCCACGTGCGTACGTCAGTCACGATCACACGACAGCCCGCCGAAAAAAAGTTACGGTCGGGCTGAAAAATGTACGGTCGGTCGGGTGAGTCGAACCACAGACCTTCTTCAGTGTGGCCTTATTATTATTATTATAATTAATATGGATGAAAAAGGAAGGATAGACTCGGATGGAGAGCCAAGGATTGCTTTATATTACAAAACAGGACCAAGGAGTGCGCATCCAAGACGTGCCAGAGCTGATAGCCAGTTAGTTGTAGAACGTTGGTACCGTTGGTCTGGTGGTGTTAGAGGCCGTCCGTAAATATCGATGTTTTTTTCAAGACGATATTTGTTCATTTCTCCCCAGAACCCCTCCCTCCCCCCTCAAAACGAACATACACATGTTTATGCAAGGGATCGATATTTTTTAATGAAGTTCAGTTTCCTCATGAAACGTGACCAGCTGCCACTCTAATTTCACCATACACCTAGGTTTCTGTTGCCACGGTCGCACAACCTTGCCATGGCTATGCTCATGAGGTTGACTTTCACTTAGTGTAGGTCATAAACTACATGTTCGAACAGCGCCCGTCCATAGATAGAGTTCGATATTTTTTTTCTGCAAAGACGAGACGAACAGGGCCCAAACCCCCTCCCCCCCCCCCAAACGAACGAATTTCTTCTCTAAAAAAACATCGATATTTGTGGACGACCCCTTAGTGGACATTATAGCGTAACTTGTAGTTCCTTGGTCCTTTTTCTACCGTACTGGCAATATATGTTGCCGCGTAACGCAGGGGGGTGCGGCGTAACGCGCGGCCAGGCTAGTGCGACAAATTTTCGTTGCGTTCGTAACGCGCGTCCGGCGGGGTGCGGCGATCTTTTCATTGCAGTTTGCAAAAAATGATACGGCAATAGCAAAAAAATGATGCGGCAATAGCAAAAAACGGACTGCGGCAATATAGAAACCTGTGTAACGGCTCCTGTGCGACTTTGCATGTAACGCCCTGCGTGCGGTAAACATGTGCCAATGTAACGCTTCATGGCCTCACTGCGACCATATATATTGCCAGTACGGTACTATAGATAAAAACGGAAGGACATTAGAGAGGTTCCGCACTACGTAAAATTGAGCAACTTTTGTTGAGCAACTTTACGTAAGTGGGCGGGAAGAACCCGTGAATTCGCGAGTTTGCACTCCACCTACGGAGAGTTGTCTACGTGGAGTACGTAGATGGAGCTCTACTACAGTCCATTTCAAAAATATAGACGCATGGTATTTTTGTAATATTTCAAATTTGCCTGGAGCTTTTCGAGAGCTTTTTTCGGAATATTGCTCAGGTCCTTCCTGCAATTAAAGGGGAAGTGCATCGATTTTTCAAGTAGGGCTCAGATGAAAGACAATTGGATATCGGTTCCGATGGTATATCTCTCGCTTGCGTACGGCAAGGGAAACTTGCCATATCGCCGATTTCCTGATCCCGTTTCCATGGCGACTACAGGTGATGACGCACATTCTGCTTAGCTCCGTGAGAGAGAAGGTCGATCAGTGAAGAATTGTGTCATTTTCAGTTGTCTTCTTGTATTCACGAAGTGAAAGAAGTACTGTGTTCAAGGCTATTAGTGCCGTGAACTGTTTATTAGTAGTCCTCTCCGTTGTGTACTGGGACGTGACACCGACAGGGGAAAGCTGGAGTGCGGAGACGTTAGCTGGCAAGCGAAAATCGTGACGAACCAAGTGCTGAAATCTTGGTTGGGACAAATCAAACGTTCAGCATTTACCTCAACCAAGGACCATGCCGTTTGCTCTTTCCACTTCCTGAAGAGGGATGCGCTGCCTGCTGGAGACTCTCCTATCTCTCGTAACATCTTCTGAAGCCAGGTGAGACGACGAGTAGCGGAGATTAGCGAACGAAATAATGTCGTATGTTTTGAAATTTTTGTTGAACATTTCTCAGGAGAGATGGCGAATACCAAGCATCTTCTCCAAGTCTAGAGAAACCATTTCGTAGGCTACATTCCGCCTAGGGAAATGCAGGAGATGGCCTGGCTGGGGAGGACACACTTGGAGGAGAACGAAGTAAGTGATATTGTTTGTTGTTCTTTGGTATTGCAATCTTATGTTTGACAAACATACGGCACGGTGCATAGTTGGTCGTTGAGTGCCTGCATGTGCATGTATAAGTGTGTGCTGATAAACACTTCCTATGCAAGAATCTGACACTCATGCTCTTTTTATTTCTTGCAGTATGTGCGCACGTGTGTGTGTGTGTGTGTGTGTGTGTGTGTGTGTGTCTGAGAGAGAGAGAGAGAGAGAGAGAGAGAGAGAGAGAGAGTGTGCAGGAGCAGCGTGGAGCATGCCAGTGTGATCGCTGTGGCCGTTGCTTTCTTAGCTGTGGCGTTCTTGCTCGTCACAAGTGTGTGGCTCAGCCCCCAACGACAGTGGAGCCGTGTTGTGGTGAATACTGTGTGTCCTGCGACCGCTGCTTCCGTTCGGTCCAGGGCAGGAATAGACACCGCTGCTGAAGCTCTCCCCGGCTGTACGTCAGTCTCGTGGCAGATGACCCGAACTCTCATTTTGTGTGTGTGTGTGTGTGTGTGGTGTATGTATATGTATGTGTGTTGCTCCCTACGTAGACAAACTCTTGTTTTTGTGTCCCGGGCACCATGGGGCGGCGTTCTCCCATTCTCTCTCCACTGCCCCTCCGGGCCCACGTGGCAGTGACTCGACAGGGCAAGTGTGTGTATGGTGCATTTTGTGTGCTGGCATGTCTGTATAAATACGTTGGACAGAATTTGTTCACCCACACTGTGACGTTCACGGAAAACCATGCTAGGTGTTGCTGGAGCGTATGGAGTCTGCGAGCACTTACAATAACTTACGTCATGTCACAACAAAGAACGGTGCAGTGTTTGACCCTCATGTAAACATGATGGTGATGGTACCTCACGTAAGCTACCCATGAAGCTAGAAAGAACATCAGGTCAACAGAATTGTACCAGAGGAAAGCATCTATTGCCCGAACTTCTTCATTTGAAATGAACAATACGGCCTTCTCCATAGAGACAACATGCAGATGATGTGTATGGACAAATAATATATAAATAGGCCATTCACTGAGGGCATGGAATGATCTCTACGTGTAGATTGGATAGACACATGCACGTCTGCAAGGAAAGCATTTGTTCATGGGTTAGTTCATGGGCTGATTGAGTTCACATGGACTAAGTTCATACATGCCATCTCTCCTGAGATCATGAGATATGTTCAGCAAAAATTTCAAAACATACGACATTATTTCGTTCGCTAATCTCCGCTACTCGTCGTCTCACCTGGCTTCAGAAGATGTTACGAGAGATAGGAGAGTCTCCAGCAGGTAGCGCATCCCTCTTCAGGAAGTGGAAAGAGCAAACGGCATGGTCCTTGGTTGAGGTAAATGCTGAACGTTTGATTTGTCCCAACCAAGATTTCAGCACTTGGTTCGTCACGATTTTCGCTTGCCAGCTAACGTCTCCGCACTCCAGCTTTCCCCTGTCGGTGTCACGTCCCAGTACACAACGGAGAGGACTACTAATAAACAGTTCACGGCACTAACAGCCTTGAACACAGTTCTTCTTTCACTTCGTGAATAACTGAAAATGACACAATTCTTCAGTGATCGACCTTCTCTCTCACGGAGCTAAGCAGAATGTGCGTCATCACCTGTAGTCGCCATGGAAACGGGATCAGGAAATCGGCGATATGGCAAGTTTCCCTTGCCGTACGCAAGCGAGAGATATACCATCGGAACTGATATCCAATTGTCTTTCATCTGAGCCCTACTTGAAAAATCGATGCACTTCCCCTTTAATTGATCTCATATAGATTTTTAAGCGATCAGATAGCAAACACCCAAATTTTTATGCACAAAGTGATCACAGATTTTATGTGGTATAGATGCTGGCCTAACGGTTTTTTGAAATCACGCGTCTATATTTTTGAAACGCACTGTAACGGCGGTGCTTCGTACGTGGATTGGGGTGTAAATTTATGACTCTCCCTAGGTTGTACGCTGCCACGTTTGGAGTAGGCATGGGCAGCTACGTGATTTGAAAATTACCTATGATGGAACACGGATCCGCATGCAGTGTAAGTAAGACTTTCCGTAGATCGATTACGTTTTTACTAACGTAATTACGTTGTGCGGAACTTCAGTCAGCGAGTGCGACAACAATGCACACAACCGACAAGGAGCGTTGAGATATTAGAGAGGCTATAAAGCTGCACGTTATTTTTTTTGACGTGACACGCAATTTCACGTACGTATTCTGTACGTAGGAGTCTCAGTTCTTTCTTTGCGGTAGTAGTTTTCAGTCTGTGTTTTCGTTCAGCGTCGAGATGTCTTCACTTCAGGTTCTCCTTCCGGTTCTGAGGGAGGTTATCTTGTGCTGGTGACGGACAACGAGCGGCGTCGTTTGTCAAGTCCACGTCAAGTGTTAGTAGGAAATCGGCCCACGTAATTAGTCGGTAGACCCAGATCTGTTTCGCTAGCGCGTTTCCAGAAGCTGGAGTCATCAGTAGGCCAGATGTTTGCTTCCATCGAAAGTTTTATGTCCAGATTCGATCAGGTGTCTGCTTCCATTACGTCCTGTCAGCGTTCTGATCATGATTTACCAGTTACGTCTGATCTGGCCTCTTACTCTTAACTAGTATCCATCTGTTCCTTTCCTTTCTCTATTCCCAAGTCAACCCAGTGTTTCGAAGAGGAGGTCACCCGTTGTTCAATGACCAATCGAGCCATCTTTCCAATCCTAGATAATTCCTTTGAATGATTCCATGCTATTTCGGCGCCGTCAAGTTCAGCGCCAACCATGTGAGCGCGACCGTTTATGTTCGCCGTGAACGTGAACGTCGAATTTTACAACGCGACATATTTCAGTGCTGTATACTTCAGGGCCAGCAGACTAGCGCCGAATATCTCAGCGCCACATAAATCAGCGCCATATATATCACCGCCAAATATGTTAGCGCGACAGATCTCAGCACCACAGATCTAAGTGCCATGTTTCTCAGCGCCAATTTATTATAATGACTGTGTGTATGAACATCGTCTGTTGTGACTATGACTGTACAAGTATTGACTTTCCGCTGTACTGTATCACGCTGAACTGTACTGCGCTGTACCTGATCGCGCTGTACTGTATCACGCTGTACTTTTTCACGCTGTAAATTACCATGCCTTACTTTTTCGCGCTGAGTTGCGGGCGTTGTACTTTACCGCGCTGATAGTCATGATGCTGAAGAAGCTGACGCTGTGAAATCAGGTATTGAAGTGCTGGCGCTGAAATGTATCTCGCTGAAACGGTCGCGATGAAATGGCAAGTCGCCCTTTGAATTTCTCTCCCCTCTCTCAGGGAGAACTATTATGACCAGCTTCTGGCAGTGACTAAGTACAAATGGGGGGGGGGGGGGGATGTGGATTACTCTGCGTAAAGAGGGGGGGGGGGGGGGGGGAGATGCGGCTTGCACTCCGTAAAGAGGGGGGTGGGGGGAGATGCGGTTTGCACTCCGTAAAAAAGCGGGGAGATGTGGACTGCACTCTATAAGAAGGGGGGGGGGGGAGATGTGGCTTTCATTCCATAAAGGGGGGGGGGGGGGATGCGGGGTTGAAGCTCGGGGTGAAGCAGTGACGTCAGACTTTGACGGCCTCTTGGCTTGCACCCCATAAAGAGGGGGGTTGCGGCTTGCGCCCTGTAAATACAGTGCTTTTCAGTGTCCTTGGTCTTTCTTCTGCTTGGTTCTACTTCCTTTCAGAAGATCCACCGGCATACCTCAGGAAACGTTCTCCTCACCTCGTGAGGTGAGGAGAACGAAGCGCCGTTCATATCAATATTCACAGCCATACTTGTTCCTGTATTGCCAGCTGCTACATTCTGTGATCCAATGGAAATTCTACCAAGTGAGTATCCGCTGCTCCAAAAGAGATTTCGAATAGTTCAACGTTCTACTATAGTATATTTTTTAAATCCACTACAAAGCAGCATGTCTGGAAGCTGATCCGGATTTTTGATATACGAATTTCAACTTGCATATTTTCAAGACCTTTGATATCCTCTCAAATGTGTGTGCGTGTGTGTTTGGTAAGGGGGGGGGGGGTGTGTGCTGTACAGTGAAACCTGTCTGAGGCGACCACTCAAAGGATGAGAAAAAGTGGTCGCTGTGGCCACGTGGTCTCCAGGTTCAGTGGGTCACGTGACCATATCCACATGTGATACGTCATTTTGATCAGTGTATCACAGTGCACACACCTATGCTACTCTAGCACCGCACGACTCATAATTATTATGCCTAGGCCCTCAGACCTGTCAAGTGTCGTGCATGCACCATGCACATCTACACTTCCTGCACTGTTGTGTAGATCTACTATGCTTGGTGCACCATGCAATGCATACATTTACATGTGCTAGCACTGTGCAACGCGGTCGCGGGTGGGTGGTCGTCGGTTGCGTTGAGCGAGTGGTCGCCTCATCCGAGCTGTTTTGAATGTGAATGCGTCTGTGACAAGGAAAAGTGGTCACCATATCCGAGTGGTCACCATTACAGGCTTTACTGTATGTGTTAGCAACCCGCTCTAATATGAAGTGTTACTTCACTGGGGCAGGACAGAATGCAGTTTTTCTGCACCTTGTCCTCACCCACTGACTGCATGCAGTGTGGTGAGCCCATATGTGCGATCATTCCCAAGTCAATATGAAACAAGGATGTTTCTGGCAGTGACTAAGTACAAATATGTGTGCGTTTTCGTGTGTGTGTATGTGTGTATGTGTGTGTGTGTGTGTGTGTGTGTGTGTGTGTGTGGTACGTGCATGCTCGTGTAATGTGTGTGTGTGTGGTACGTGCATGCTCGTGTAATGTGTGTGTGAGCAAAGGTGTGTACCTGTTTTTGTTTGTCTGTATGTGTGTGGCTGTCGGCTTTTTCATTTCACCTCTCATATGTCACGGTGCATGTATATAAGTGTGCACATGTACATTTTCTTTTTCTTCACGAATATCCCCTGTGCTAGGTTGTCTGTAACTCAGTCTGAGTCTACTTCATGTGAAGTATGAGTTGCTATCGGCAGGCATTATAAGCCAAGGACCATCTACTCTGGTAAGTTAATAACGCTTTCTCATGTTATGCTTCAAATGCAAATGTTGTTTCAACAACATTCGCTGCTGCTGATGATGCTGCTGCCGAAACGTTTTTCATGAAAGCACAAACCAATAAGTATATGAATGCAGGAAGAGCATAAGATGGAAAAGAGAACAGCAACCAAACTCTGCTGCTGTTGCTTCTGCTGGTAATGTTGTTGCTACTGCTAGTGCAGATTTGACGGCTTGCACTCCATAAAGAGGGGAGATACGGCTTGCACCCCTAAAGAGCGGGGGGGGGGGGGGACGGGG